AAGTTTTTCTATATATGATTAAAAAGAGAAAAAAATCTGTTTTTTCGGCTGTATTTTCTTTTTCATTTTGAGATTGATTTTTCAAGACCAAATCATTTTTTTTAGTTTTTTTTTAAAACTCAACCAAAATTTAAAATTGTTGAAGTTAATAACGAAAATTCATCAATTTAGGTCAAAATTTCTAGATGCTAATATAAAACCATGAACTATCATATTTTGTTTAACAAAAATATGCTTGCTATTTTATTTTTAATATTTAATTTGGCATGAATTGATTTAAAATTATAATATAATTCCTATTCTTTCATCTCTTAATTCAATATAAATCTTGATAGATATGTAAATCCTATTAATACAATATCTTAAAATCTAAACAAATGATATGAAAATTATTTTTAACTTTTTAAAAAATATAAATAACAAAATAAAATAAACTAAAAAGATTAATGAGAAAAAAATAGATATATATATATATATATACACGTACACTCAAACCATGAGATTTACTGTAGAGTAATATGGAATTGTGATGAAGCCATTAATATCCGTCGATCAAAGCAAACAGTGGTTGATTACGAGTCCTAGCACATGAAGAGAACGCGCTAAAGTGGGAGAGTGGAGGGATAGATAAACGGTCATAAATACGAGGTACAACAAAGGAAGGCTATTGGTTACAAGGAGAACAAAAGAGGCAAATGTGGCCTTCTTCCCGTACTCTTGGATTGGACCTTTCTGGAAAGGTTTCCCGTTTCTTAACATTATTCCCATTTCCTTTTCTGATACAATACCTTCCCTCTCTCCTCTCCTTACCTCCATTTGCCTTTTCTTTTGTTTCCTTTCGGTAAATTTCTCCATTTCCCAAATCACCCCTCCAACTTTATGTTTTTCCTATATCACCCTTTACCTGGTTACTCAACTAGTAGAAAATGTTTCATTGAACTCCTCTACCAATATAATATTGCACCGTGCCCCTCCACAACAAAGTTTTTGTTTGATATCAACCCCCGTCTGTCTCCGTAGGTCGAGCGTGTTTGCAATTAAGGATTGATGAAAGACATCGTGACACGTGTACTTAAATTAATTTTTTTTTTACCAGAATTTCACTTTTTACAAAATATCAAATAACTTTTTTAAAAAAGCAAAATACAAAGTATAATTTTAAAAATATACAAAGGTTTTTTTTCTTCGAAAATATATACATAGATTTTGTTCTTTTATTTGACAAAAATCATTTGATATTTTTCTAAAAAATAAAGTTCTGATATAAAAAATTGATTCGAATACACATGTTGCAATATTATTCTTCAACTATTAAATTGGAACACTATAAGCGAACATAAAGTTGATATTAAATAAAAATCTTGTTGTCCAAAAGCATAATGTAATATTATGTCAGTATAAGAATCCAATAAAACATTTTCTACTAATAGATGGACCAACTATATGGAAAGGCCATTAATGATTACTTAGGGTAAATTTCATATTGACTGTTGAGGTAGGTAGATCTTGTACATTGAAGTGCTGACTTTGACTCTCTATTTTTTTTTTTTTTAACGTTCTTATGACATTGCAATCTAGTCCATTTACATAATTAAAACATGTTGCTTTTCTATTCCTACTTTATCATATCAAAACGGCATGTAGTAAGATAATTGTATAGATGGATTTGCTTAGCATGCATGCATGTGATATTATAATATTAAATTTTGATATGATATTTTCAATATTAAAAATAAAGATATGATTATTGTTGAAGTGATAATTTAAATGGAAATGGATCGCTGGATGAGAAAAATAAAAGCCTAAAATTTTTTGACAATCTGTTTATTTGTAAACAGTTGGACAAGCACATCAAGCTCGACAGCAGTGCTGGGCACGTGACTAATTTGTTCGTACAATTGATGATGAAATTTATAATTAAATTTGGAATTTACACAAAAATATCTTATATTCAAATCATATAGGGATGAAACGAAGGTTAGCTAGGATGGAAGAGGGCTATCCTTATAATCCAATACTCGTTGGATCTATTTTTGAAATATATATATATATACATTTGAAAGCATATAATTTATTTATTGAATTTGAGATTTGAGTTGAAGCCCGTTTAAATTAGAAAGATACATAGAAAATGAATTATTGCCTTTTATTGTTTCCTTATTTATTTATTTATATATTTTTGCTCTCTAGAATCTAAGCATTTTCCTTACAATATTAAAAAAATATTAAATTATAAATTTGTCTTTTTAATTTCGAGAAACAGATTAATTAATCTTTCTTATTTTAAAAACTAATTATTTAATCTATTGACTTGTATTTACTATGCTTAATTTAATAATATTATTTTTTTTATCTATTCTCGTCAATTCTTCCATTTTTTCTATTTATTAAAATAAAAAATATTTTTTTAAAAAAAAGATTAAGCTATAAGAAAATTTAAAAATATAGAAACTAAATTATTCATTTAAAAAAAAACTAATTAATTTATTTCTCAAAACTAATGTGACTATTTTATATTTAACACAAGAAAAAGGAGATATCTATTTCATTCCTTTGACATTTTATTTGTGATATGGTGGGATGAATAGGTAGTAGATTTAACTAGATAAATCTTCTACGTGTTTGTGAGTAATTCTAAATAATCTAATCTATGAATAACAAAATTTCTAACTATGAATTTAAGGTCTATATGAGTATGATTAAAAAACAGTATATAGATTTAATTCAACAAAATAAAATACAATGATAGATTAAAAACACTAAAAAAAATTACTAAATTGAATATTAAATAAAATTTATATGAAAATATGGAAAAGAGAAATAAAAAAGCATACCATTTTATTAAGAAAATATGAGAAATAATACAAATTGATATATATGTGTGTGTGGAGAGAGAGAGAGAGAATTATATTGATATTAAAAATGTATTAGCTTTGTTATAGTAGTTTGGTTTAAAAATAACACTTGTATAATTAATTTTAATTTTAATCCAATATTAATTTATCTATTTTGATATTATCAATTAAAAAAATTACTCATAAATGTTACGTGAGAGCAACAGAATTAAAATAAATTTTTTAAAAATCTAAAAACAAGTGATTAAATTTCTAAAACTTATCAAAATACGTTAGATTTAATATGGGTGTGGGGAAGAAGGTTGATTGTATGGTTCAAAGTTCAAGGAACTAAAAAAAATTGGTAGTAATGTTGCATGTTTTGACTATTACTTCTTAAAGAGGGCAAATCTCAAAAAGTCCCAACCTATTCGGTTACTCTATATTAGATTCCAAGCTATTTTTCTTTTTGATTAGGTCCCTATCATATTACAGATTTTCAATCAAACCCTTTAGTCAGTTTTATTTAACAAGACGATTAAATAATCATGTGAAACTTATTCAATTTTTCCTTTATATACATATATATATATATATATATATACACAAAACCATCAAATTCTTTAAAATCTTCTCAATTGCATAGCATGAAAGTCACAAATGATAGATTATACTATATAAAGAAATATAAAGCCTTTATATTTCTTTATATAGTATGTTTTATCACGTGATGAAGAGAATCACAATAATTCAAGGTTTTTTTTTTAAAAAAAATAGAGAAACAGAAATTTCATGGGTTTCAACTAACTATTTAATAATTATATTAACTATTAACTCCTCATTTTTACTATGGTAGTCAGATTAATCCCTTGGGTGACAGGTATTAAGCCTCCTCCTCTTCTTTTTAACGCTAACAACTAATCATTAATGTATATCGGCTTATCAATTAAAAAAAAAAAACTAAAAAATGGATATGATTGAGAGTCTATTGATACATTGAGGACTTATTTAATACAAAAAATAGATTGGGAACCTAATGGAAATTGCAATTATAGTTTGAGGCCTTTTTGAGGTTTGGCCCGTTGTAATTTTCCAAGAAAGAGAAAGGGGAGGGCGACTTGTGCCGTGAGTGTGTAAATAATGATAATTAATAGCTAATAAAGGTAATTGAGTAATTAGCCATCTTTTGAGTCTTTGCGTTGTCTATTTCTATTAGTGTGTAATGCAGAGAGAGCAAGAGAGAGGGGGGCAGGAGAGAGAGAGAGAGAGAGAGAGACAGAATGAGGATGCTTTTCGATTTGGTTAACGTGGGAAAGTTGGAAGTAAGAAAGAGACGGTTCTTTCTTCCATTCTCTCATTTTCCCAATCTTATATCCTTTGAACCCACCAATGAGGAAAAAGATAAATAGATTAATTATAGACATCCCTGTAAAACAGTAAAAGTTTATCTTGTTGGGTTTAAAAAGAGATGGTATAAGCGAGGATTGGGTCATTACAAAAGCCGAAATGGACACACATCAGATCAAATTATCTTATCAAACATTAAATAAGAAAAAGAAAAGAAAAGAAAAAGAAACAAAGGGTCGACAGAAAAACTATGCATGACTCTACAAGGATATCATGAGCCATAAAAACTAGTAGTAAATAAAAAAGGGACGACAAGGCAAGTTGTTATAAGAGAGAGAGGAAACACAAGAGAAGAGAGTAGAGAGAGATAGAGGTATTAAGGTGGGTGTGGATGCTTTCGGCTAAGCTACCTCAAACTGGCCTCGTCTATGCTGTATTGGGCAGTTATGGATTACCAAGATCTTGAAACATTTCTACCTCTACTATACCTTTTTGCAACAAAACCACTCTCTCTCTCTGAGGGGTCGTAGGTTTTTTTTTTCTTTTGAATGCTCAAACCCTTTCTTTGCCTTTGTCTCTCTTTATATAAATATGCTTCATTATTTATTTGATTCACAAAAACCAAGATAAAACTTTCTTCTTTAGCTTCCACTTCTTCAATCAGCCACCACCACCACCACTACCAATATCAGCATCCTCCGTATCTTTTTCTTTCATTATATTATACTCTTTCTTTCATGGTGGAGTTGGAGTGTTGTGAAAAATCTTCCAATCTGCTTCAAGTTCTATCTTGAAAACCACTCAAGAAGAGGGAAAAAAATGTGGAACTTAAATGACTCGCCTGATCAAACAAGAGACGATGAATCCGAGGGATGTTCCAGTCAAAAAACATCAATAGACGGCGAAGTTGACAAGGGGAAAAGGGTCGGATCCGTGTCGAATTCCAGCTCTTCTGCTGTAGTAATAGAAGATGGATCAGAAGAAGAGGATGAAAGTGGAGACAAGGGAAATAGAATAATCAAGAAACGTAGTATAAGCTTTAGCAGCAGCAGCAACAGCAAGATTTTCGGTTTCTCGGTCCCTTATGATCAAGACTCCATAGAAATGAGTGATCCGCCAGTGACTCGGCAGTTCTTTCCTTTAGAAGATCAAGAAATGGGATCCACATCGGGCGGTGGAAGTGGTGATGGAGTTGGTGGTGGATTTCCTCGGGCTCACTGGGTTGGTGTCAAGTTTTGCCAATCGGAATCGTCACTTGTTTCTCCAAAATCCATGGAAGTCTCACAACCATTGAAGAAAAGTAGGCGAGGACCGCGGTCTAGGAGCTCTCAATACCGTGGTGTTACCTTCTACCGGAGGACTGGCCGATGGGAGTCTCATATATGGTTAGTGTTTTTGTTGTGCTCATAAATTTTTACTTTGTTGTTTTCCTTCCCTACTCTTTTTTTCTTTTTTCGGAGGAGGTGGTGATGTTTTTGATAATCAAAATTTATGATTTAGCTCTTTCTATGATCTTGATGCAGGGATTGTGGGAAGCAAGTGTATCTAGGTATGATTTTGTCTAGTTTGAATTTTTCATTATTGCAGTTATCTAGGCTTGGAAAAACATGGCTTCTTTGTCATCCATTGTTCAAACATTTCTGATGTGGGTGAGATTGGTTTTTTGCTTCTTGGATATCTTGTATTTCTACAGGTGGATTTGACACTGCACATGCAGCTGCTCGGTGAGTTCTCATGGTCCCTTATTTGCTAAGCGTGAAGGTTTTGCTTGTCTTCTTTTGAAAGGCAAAATGGCCAATAATTTTCAGGTCCAGTACAGACTGAGAGATTGAAAGAGTCCTTTTCTTTTCTTTCTTTTGCAGTGCATATGATAGGGCAGCAATCAAGTTTCGGGGAGTGGAGGCAGATATTAATTTTAGAATTGAAGACTATGAGGAAGACTTGAAACAGGTAAAGGGGAGGGAGGGAGAGAGATTTTGCTCGTTTTGTAGAGATTTTATCTTATCTTCAATAGTGCTTGCAAACCTTATCTTGTACAGTTGTGTTTTTATGTGCTTTCCTTTTCTTTATGTTACTATCGAAAAACAAAGAGGGGAAAAAAAAAAAAAGAGAACGAAACATATAATCATATGGGTTTTACAAAGGGAAGATTCTTGTGTATGGTAACAGATGAGCAACCTTACTAAGGAAGAATTTGTTCATGTGCTTCGCCGGCAAAGCACAGGATTTCCTAGAGGAAGTTCTAAGTATAGAGGTGTAACCTTGCACAAGTGTGGAAGATGGGAAGCTCGAATGGGCCAATTTTTAGGCAAAAAGTAACCATTTCTCTCTTTATTTGGGCATTTTATAAATCAACCCCATCCTCATTTTCTTGCTTCTATCTATATTTGTAGTGATCAATTTTATTTGCAGGTATGTTTACTTGGGCTTGTTTGATACTGAAATTGAAGCTGCAAGGTGTGTGTGTGTGTGCCCTCTCTATAGGTTTTGTTTTGTACACTTTGGTCGGCAGTATCTAAGACATAGTAGCCAATGGGGAATCAATCAATGTAATCTGGTGTTGTTTGGTGGAGTTTTAAATATTCCTGAACTCTTTTATAGGGCGTATGACAAAGCTGCAATCAAGTGCAATGGCAAGGAGGCAGTTACCAACTTTGATCCCAGCATTTATGAAAATGAGCTTAACTCTATCGGTAAGTAATTTGGAGGATGCCAATGGTTTATTTAATCATTCTTCTATTGGCTCATATTAATTCAATTGATTAATTATGTATATGTTGGTTAATTAGAATCATCAGGCAATGCTGCGGATCACAATCTTGATTTGAGCTTGGGCAATCCAGCTTCGAAGCAAAACAGTATAGAATTTGGTCAGGATAGGCACAATGCTGCAATGGAGCAACATTCAGCAACAATGTCATTTGAACCTAATTGGCAGAATCGGGGGTTTAGGCCAAAGGTGCAACATTAAATTGACACGATTTAATTTGGTCGTTACCTTTTTTTATCCCATGTTGCACTCGTCTTATGTTTTTGGTCGGACTGTATTGATATATTTTGCTAATGGTTTTCTTTATGACATTGTAAATACCAGCTTAACCTTTATAGAAGTGACAGTGATGGGCATGGAAGAGATGGGTATGGGGAGACTGAAACGACCCAGCTTCTTAGCAAAATCCACATTCAGTCTCTAGGATCACACCAGTCTAGTACTGAAATGCCAAGATATGAGCAGTTCAGGAGATCTCATGGAGATAATCAGATGCTTAATGTTCTTCCTCCACAGTTCAACTCACCAAATTATCAAGTGAGCTTCCAAATAATTAAAGCTCATATAATCAGTTTTGATGTAAACAAAAAGTTAATGTCTTTTAGGTAAATTTGTTGTGTTTCAATTTCTCTAGATTCAGTATCCAAGCAGCAGCAATGGAGGTCGAATTGGAAGTGATCTTTCCCTCTCTCCAAATGAGCTTCACCGTCGTCATCATTATCAGCAATGGCAAGCAGGTCCTCCCCAGTTTGCAAATGCTGCAGCATCATCAGGATTCCAACAGCAGATTAGGACTCCACAAAACTGGCTGCAGAAAAATGGGTTCAACTCTCTCATGAGACCATCTTAACTCATATATAAAGTAGCCGTTCCATCTTGTTATGCAATCTCTCAAAAGTTTCAATGCTCACCATAACCTATGTTTGCGCGGCTGTAACATGTAAAGAGCAAGGCTTTTAACTATGAGGCGCACTATTTTTCTTTTAGCTGTCAAACCCATCCCCAGAGAGAGCCAGCCAAAGAAAACAAGAAAATTGTTGGCCAAATAAACAAAGAGATAACGAAATTCCAAGTCTTCGGGAAATGTTGGTCATCAGTCAAAACTAACAAAGGGACGAAATCTTCAACTAAGATATAAATTCATTTCTGGGTTCTGACTAAAACTGTTGGCCTTTTTTTAATCTTATAAGTACAATAATAATATTGTTTTGTTGCTCTTGCTGTGTCCGCCCTATAAGTTATTTATTGCTGCTTTTCCTTTTGGGCTATATAACCTATCAAGCAATATATTTTATTTAGTTTTAATGGGTCATCAATACCATGTGTTTGCCTGACCTCTTTTCGGTTGCCTGATACTATTTAATTTTAGTTCCAAGGACAGTTATGCATATGGAGTTATGGACTAGTTGTGGCATTTTTTGGTTTATCATTTTAGCTCTTTACCGTTCTCTAGGGCTGGAACAACTGTTTGAGGCTGATTCTTTAGTTCCCAAATTGAGTAATGGCATACAGAAATCGAGCATGATATAAGATATAGCTAAAAAAGTAAACTGTAAACTTCAATTCTACCATCAAAAGAAGAGAGAGTTAAGAGTAATTCAGGCATGAAAAATGGAAGTTGTTTTTGTGCCTTGGAAATATCACTGGATGGCGATGAATGGTCACAATCTTTCATGTCCTTTGAATCAGTTCTCTTGGCCAAAAGCAGTCAGACATGGCTATTATGACGAGAGGGACTTGTCAATATTAGCCCCAAGCAAAGGACATAAAAGGGTTAGATTATGTGCACGTAGAGAGAGATAAAGAGGAGGGGAAACCAAAAAAGACTGTTACGGGTTAGGGCTCACTTGGGGTTAACCCAGTCAGTTACTACTCAAGGCAAAACTGTTCTCTCTCTCTCTATCTATATATATATTTTTTTTAAAAAAAAAAAAGCTACTACAGAGTAAAGGAAAAGTAGAGATGTATTTAATATATATATATAAAGAGATTTTATGGTTTTTATTCTTGCAGAGAAAGGAGATTTTTTTGCATGATGTGTAATTTAATTTTCATTTGTAAAAACTATGAAAGGGCTTATTATTATGTTGGTTTTCAGAATACATCAATTGAAGCAAGACTGATATAGCTTGTCAATCCCAAGGGACTACTACATTAGTTGAGATCAGAATTTCAAATGAAGAAAGTAGTGCAAATTTAGAGATTTTTGAAAAAAGCTTTGACTACTCTTAATTTTGTGTAATTCAAAATTTATTAAGCCTGTAATTAAAAGAGAGAAAAAAAAATATTAAGCATCCCAATACGTACAAAGTAATTTTACTTACATTAATTGTCTGTCTAAGGTTTCAAAAGGATTCCAAATCTTAAACCTGCAAGAATAAGTGTACGGAGAAACTGCGGCCAGCCTTTGAATATTGAAAAAAAAAAAAAAAAATCCCATGGAGAACCCATAGTAGCAGCATAAAGTATGTCCATTTGATTACTCCGATGATTTATGATTAATATCCAAGTCATTAAGATATAATAGATAGGTACAAACGTATATAATAAAGGTGATTCTTTCGTCATCTGGGTCGTCATTGCCAGATATTTTTAGTGCCAACAAAGGTTAAGGTTAGGGCACATAATTTTTTATGATTAAGGTTAATATTTTATGCTTTGGATACACGTCTACCATCTTGTTACCAAGTGTTATCACTTATTTTATTTGCACAAAAACGTGCATTCATGAGCTAAACACGCAAGTCAAAATTCTTCTTTTTTGACAAAACATACAACTCCATAATATGTAAAAAAGAATATGCTAAAGCCATCGAATTAAATGCTTTACTATCAACATTTTTTGTAGATTGTAAAACAAATAAGCAAATATGTAAGAGCTTAAAAGAACTTATTTTATGCCCATACTTCTTTACTTTATTCTATTTTCCCCATTAGTTTTCATGTGATGACTTATATGTGCTGCCATCTAAAAACAACCATGAAATAAGCTCATAAGCAAATAATAATACCCCCTCTAGGGCTTTAGCATTCTCCTTTTGACCACTATAATGATAAGCCTCTATAGCTAACTGCCTAACCCAAGTTCTATAATTCCTCTTTATATATATATATATATATAAGAATTGCATAAGCAGGTTTGTTACTATTCCCTTCTGTTCACATAACAAAATAATATAGTGCCAAAAAAAAATAAAAAAAATCAATGCCATGGACCACCATAATAACGTATGGAGAAAAGGAAACTCCACATATGAAGGGAACAAAGTGACTCTGTCCTGTAGCAAAGCTTAAAGACCCTCTCCTTAGATCCTCTCCCTTGCATCGGATCTACGAAACACTGCCATGTCTTCAGACAGCCCTCTGTCTTTTACCATGGCTTAAATTTTTGGTCTGGAAAAAAAAATAGAAAACGAAAAGGCCAGTGAGAAGTGACAACAAAGGGAGCGAAAGAGTGTGGGAATCACGAAAAGGTAGCAAAGGAAAAAAAAAAAAACATGAGCATATATAGCCTCTTGGTACAATATGTCAATATGTTTGCTTTTTTAATATTATTTCTCTTTGATGACGAGAGATGAGAAGAAGAGCATTTCCGAAAAAAAGAAAAAGATTTCCCAAAATGGAACTAGTATGTGTCTTTTGTAGAAGAAAAGAATAACGGACAGATCATTTATTAATTATTTACGAGTGAGGAATGGCGATGTTTTATTTAGTACTACTATTTTTTATTTTTTATTTTGTTAAAGTTGGGTTTGTGTGGTCTGATAGATGCCAAGGGCCAAAGGGCCAATGAGAGTGACTGCGACTGCGACCGAGATTTGACACTGTGGTGTTAGGTTACTGCTTATTTTCCCACCTAATTTGAGATGGTAATTACCGTATTAATTATAATACGAAGATTGTGACGTTAAGTGTTAGATCGCTTTCATCATTCACGGAGACACACTAACCCTTCGATTGCCCTTTCTGGGACGCATTTGTCCATCTGCAATTGCTACTCTTTCTCCCTCTCTCTCTCCCTCTCAAAACGACTACTACTGTGCATTCTCTCTCTCATTTACTTTCCTTTTATGGCATTACTTTGGGTTTCAAAATGGTAGTCCTACACCGTTCTCCATGTTATTCATTCATACTTGTTCAAGCGTTCTTTTCTAACTTTTCTACGCTAAGCATTTAATTAAGCTTACAACGCCAGTTCCAAACTCCCCCACGTGCTGAGGATGGCATCTGTGCTCACGCTCCAATTCGTTTCCTTTTTCCTGTAAAATTGATATTTATGAAATATTAAATATTCATAGCTGTTAACCTTTTAAAATACAATTTATATTTGTTTGCTCAAATTAAAAATAAATGTTGAAATCATCCATTAAAACCTAATATAAAATTAAAAAGAAAGTTTTTCTATTGTATTCTTTTCTATACATTTTCTTAAATAAAAGTTTTTAAATTTAAAATTCACATAAACGTACAAACTCAACATTATTAACATGTTTACCATAACAACTTCACATTCATTTGTATGGTGATTGGACATCGTGATATATGTTAAGCTATGGACGAGCTTGCAATTTAAGACACTAAGCATTAGGTGGTATTGTTTGTCGGTTAGGGAGTAAGGATTAAAGAGCCGAGTCTCCTTATGAAAGATCGAGGGGCGGAATTTTTAAAAAGTCTATAGAATATTCAGCTAGTTGTATAGGTTCGTTATGTCATTATTTTTTTCTTATAACCCTAGTTATCCACACTATAAATAAGGACAATAGCTCTTGCATTTGTAAGTCCCCACTAGATAAACCCTAATAAGAAATCCTAGTACATCCATGGAATAGACGCACTTGTGTTATGTGATTGTTCTTGTCTTTTTATTTTATTTTTATTTCATAATACCTCTTGCATTTGTAAGTCCCCACTAGATGAACTCTAATAAGAAATCCTAGTGCATCCGTGGAGTAGACGCAATTGTGTTATGTGATTGTTCTTGTTTTTCTATTTTATTTTTCTTACTTAATTTGTTTCCTAACATTTGATATCAAAGTCTTAAGTTTGGGATGTGAGAAGGAACAATGACAAAAGAAGCAAAAGTCGGGATTGACAAGTTGGTTAGCAAAGACTTTGGATTCTAAAAGACGTAGATTGAAGATTATCTATACAAAAAAAAAAAAAAAAAAAAAAAACCTACACAAACTCTTATCAAGAAAAAAGCTAGAGGGGATGAAAGATGTTATTTGGGTTCTATTAGATCGCAATGCTTTGGGTGTTATTTAGCTAACATTGATGTGAAACATTACTTTTAACATCATAAAAGAAAAGAACATAAGAGATCTAGTGACGATGCTTGTCAAATATATATATGAAAAGTCATCGGTCTCAAACAAGGTATGTTTGATGCGTCGATTATTTAATCCGAAGATGGCAAAGTATGCATTTTGGACTAATCACATCAATAAAGTTAATATGTCGATCGATCAATTAGAGTCGATAAATATTGTATTTGACAATAAAGTTAAGACACCGATTTTCTTCTCTTCTCTACCTAATAGTCGGTCCGAAACAATAATAGAGGTAAGTAATTCATCAAAGAATGAGAAACTAAAATTGGATGATGTGCAAGATTTAATGGTCAATGAAAATTTTCACAAGAGTAAGTTAGGGGAACCTTTAGGTTCTGCTTTAAGTATTGATAGAAGAGTTTAAGTATTGATAAAAGAGAAAGGGACTTTTAGTGGGTCGAATCATGATCATGCATGTCAAAATCAAAAGGCAAATGAAAATCCAAAAATTACAAAGAGATCACAAACTGGAATTGTGATAAGAAATAACACTTTAAAAATAGTGTAAGGCTTCAAAGAA